GACTTTGCTGCAAGAATTTATTATTTTCTTGTTAACTGTTTTAATTGAGCAACTTGTTTCTCTAAAAATAAAATAAAATGTCAAAGACAAAGCTATTCAGTTTCTTGCGTGAGTATATGTATGTATATAACCGCCAGTGGAATTTATTGCGACGCAAGGGGGGCGCCACCTAAAATCTTGCCTGGGGCGCCAAATTGGTTAGGGCCGGGCCTGTATCACTGTCTTATGTGTGAGTCGTTAAATTGGTTAACACCAAAATCCTTAAGACATTTTCACTGGTTGCAATTTAATAGGGCTCGAGCACTGACCGTGGACAAAGCCATCTAAAGTCATTCACCATTTAAAGTTGTGCGATTTACGACATTCTGTAATGAATGTGGCATACATGATCTGATCTCAATGAAACTTCACGTTTCATAAGAGTCCCACTCTGAACACGTCTGTGATAATATACAGTAATAAAGAGAGCACCACCTAGTGGCAACAGGAACAGGAAGTAAGCGCTGCGTGGCGATTTTGATCTGATTTACGTGAAAGTTTCATGTTGCGGTCCACACGTGTTACGACGGCACGTGACGCAGCCGCAGCACACCCCAAGTTGCTTGGAGTGCGAGGGCCCGTTCATTGCTGCTTGCAGATTTAATTTCTAAATATATTTTCTTTAACTTTCTTTCTTACTTGAACTTTTTATTCCATATAGGACATCCTGTAGTTTAAGATACACTGAGCTTCCCTTTCTCTTTGTTTAAATATATTGGGCAATGAGCCTTTAAATTCAAAGCTCTATCTGATTGGAACAACCTGCTCAGTTCAGTTTGATCTATTATCTAATTCATTATCTATTCATTCAATAAGTCATCCATTTTGACTGATCTTCAAACAACCTGCTAATTTTACCTCATGTCTATATAGATTTGTATGGGATGGGTACATTTACTGTATGTGTATGGTCAGTGTGTGTGGGAGTGGCTAGACCTGGGCCAGTTGTTGTCTGTGTATGTTTGAGTGTATCTGTGTTGTTTAGTTGTTTTATGTACTGTATCCTCCCTTGAAAACAAGATGGTTCATCTCTTTCACTAAATGTTAAACTTAGATTGCACATGAGATTATGAATGAAGAAAAGGACCTGAGGTTTATTTAAAATAAGAAATTGTTTGTGTTCTTTATTGGGATAATATTTTCCACAAATTACATCCAACATGCAAACCATGCAGACATTTCATTTGGGCCTTTTTAGGATTTCTTCAACAAAAGCAAATTTACAAAGAAAGGGGTTTATATCTGATTTTATATTAATGTTATTTGAACTAAATAGAAACACTTGTGTCTTCACATTCTAGTTGAGGATGACTGCTCCACTGCGGTTGTTTAATGAGATTCTGCCCTCTGGTGGTCACAGGAGAAAATACAGTTAATCTTTAAGGTATCAGTGAAGATGAGAACAGTCAACATGTAAACTCACAATCCAACAAAGAGCAAGGCACCAAACCCCTAACTGCTCCTGAGGCACCGCTGCAGCCCTTCACTCCATCTCTCAACATTTACATGTCTGCAAGCAGTGTGTGTGTGTGTGTGTTTGTGTGTGTGATCCATTTGAGATGCACTATGTATTTTCTCCTCTGGCCACCGGAGGGCAGCCTTTCATTACACAGCCCCACACAGTTTTACAGTGCTGCTGTTATTGTGTCTAAATGGGTTTGCTGTGTGGATGTCATTTGTGGCTGCAACAAACTGGTAAAGACTCTCCTGTCAGAAGATAATCAACATCTGTTGCACTTTACAAAACCTCTCATCAAACAAAGTGACCTTTTAATGTTTGGATTGCCTTCCTGTTCATACTTTAGTTTCTGAAAGTAAAAGTACACATCATGTAGAAAACCTCCTTTCAGAGTGTTTTAGTGTATGATATATAATATATATATATATAATGAGACCGTCCCCAGACTTCCTCTGTTGCCTGTTGACTGATTTATATGTGTTTGTAGGCTCGGATTTTCCATTAAAATCAAAATAATGATTCTTGAAAAGGACAAACAGGGTGCAATATTGAGAAAAAAAAACCAAACAATATTCTCTGACAAATGAAACAAACTGAGCTAGAGAGCTACACTTTGATACGACCTCCCAACTTAAGCAAAAATACTATCTGAATGGATATATTAGTTGGCTAACATTAGCTTCCCCAGCTAATCGGGCTGGCTGTGTCTTGGCTGCGCGGCGTGGGTCTGGCGTTGGTTGCTTCGTGGTGTTGGTTGTAAATGGCGAGCTAGCCAGTAGCATGGAGCTAATGGTCCAAATGAAATATAGGAACATTGCAGATAGGAACATTATTCTAAATATCACTGTCAGTTATTTTACAGCGTTCAGTGTTTGTCACTGTTGGCCATGACGGGCCTATGGACTGTGTATAGAGTGTGTGAAACAGGATGCTGACAACAGTTCAACTTTATCCAACACCTACAAAAAGGAACGAGAAGCAAAGTATATTTTTGAGTGGAGGAGTGAGTAAATGTACACCACCACCAACACAGGCTACAGTGCAAGGAACATACTGTAGTGAGCACACTAACACTGTTTGATTATTGATCTTTGTGAAGCATGTTGTGTTTTTATGAGTCAGTGCCAGGTACAGACCTGAAGATAAAAACACCAGAAACTCCTCATAAACTAATAAACAGCGTTCAACATCAACAAACAATCAAAGTAAACCAGGTCAGACAGACATAGGTTTTATTTGAACAATAGTGGAGGCATAAAAGCAAACAGCTGTAGCCAACACACTCATAAAGGGAGAGTTTTTTCTGTTATCATGTTCCTGAGACAATGATTACACAATTTCTTTTTATCAAACCACACTTTCCAAAAGGAAGCGTGCATCTCCTCATGGATGGCAGGCTCGTGCTAAGCTAGTTAGCGTTACATTCAGAGAATTAAAAAACACTTTAAAGTTATTAATCTGTGAATCAAACTGGACTTCCAGAACAGTAAAATGATGACAGTAGTAATGTTATAATGTGGATTATATAGCCTTCTATTGTACCATTATATACTATATACACTACTTATCACAACAAACAGTAGCTTCCATTATCAGCACTTTAACACACCTGATGTTCTGATCCACCTGAGCGTTTGAGGGAGTCAGCAGGTCGATACTGGAGGTGGATCCGCTGACTGTTATAAACTAGATCGATCTAAAGTGAATCTGGTTCCAGTCAGTAATGCTGACATTAATCTGAATGATGACACAGTCTGGTGGAGGGTTACAGGTCTTTATTATTGGGATATAAGTCGTACTGAAATCAAACATAATGAAAGGCCTCGTTGATTAAACCACCACCGTTTAAAAAAAACACAATGTAATATTTAATGAAATCCGATCAGTAACACATGATGTCCACAGGATTATGATGTTACTTAATGTTAATGAATATACATGTAAAAACACAAATACAATGTCGAAAGGGTGATTATACAAGTGAAATAATTACTGTGTTTCTAATCTATTCATACAAAGAACTGATCACAAAGTACAACCATGAGTTTTTCTATAAAACTGTAACTCTATCAAAGAGTACACAATAACAACAGTACTTCTACTACTTCTACTACTACTACGAACTACATGGGATGAGATGAAAAGCAAATTAATGAGATAATTCAATAATAAAAGAATCGACTGTCTTTAATCCAATCTGACTTCAAACTCAATAAAAAACCTTGAGGGTTAATCAATATGATGATGAGGGGGAACAGCCCAAATGGTGAGACCAACTGAAACCTAAAAGTTCACATTATACTTTTAAAAGGTAAAACACAGAAAAAGAAATCCTCAGATTTTAAAAGCAGTAACATGTTTGGTATTTTCTGCTTGATAAATGACTTAAAGCGGCTATATTCAATCATTTTAGATTTACGATGAATCAAATGATTACTTGTATGTGAAAAGGGCCACTCGGGTCGACTCCTGAGCTCTCCTCAACTCTACGGAGCATTTTAGCATCTTTCAGCTTATTGTTTTGGTTTGATGGTCCACAACTTTACTGTTTTGGTTCACTCTCACCGCTCTGATTAGCATCGTTTCCAGACACAGCAGGCAGCTGTTGTCGGCTATAAAGCTCTGAAAACCACCTGGATCAAAATAATGTGAAATACTAGCCTATAAAACATTTTCTTAAACAAGCAATGCAATGAAAAAACTGTCACACATTACCAATATTAAACAAACTGTTACTAATATCCATTTACAATCATATATAGTCCATAGTGTCGTTTGCGAAACATGGTGAAATATTGGTAAAGTAAGAAGTTCATAAAGAACAGGATCTTTCTGGAACCTAAGGAAATGTTGATAGTGCTTTTTGCCATTAGTGGACATTGAAGGGAAAAAGAAATATGTTGTTGATGAACGTTATGCGATACATTCAGGGTCATTGTTCATTAAAAAATGTTTGGTCATTGTAGTGATAGACAAGACTAATCTGCAACAGTAAGTTCCAGCTCATTTTTCAGTAGTTGTCCATCACACGACTACTGTTGATTCTCATCTAGGTCACTGTCAGTCATAATAAATCAACATAAAGAATTGAATGCATGTTATATTTAGTTAAAAAAAAAGGTTACTGAACTGTAGTCAGTGATAAGCCTGTGCTTTTTTTATTAAAGAAGTAAATACAATATATATTTGTCATAAAGTATCAGGACACAGTCAAACCTAGCCTTGTGCTAACGTCAGTTTCTAACTTTCCAAGTTTATTTTTATCATCACTACATTAAAGCAGGTTCCAGCTGACACACTAGTTTTTACGTAGAGATTTGGTTTTTAAATATTAACACCTTCTACCTGCCACGTGTAACTGTTTATAACTGTGTGTATAAAAGAGAGCATGCTAATATCTGATCACAGAGATTGGTATTTGGGTTAATACTGATCAGTATTGGCTTTTTTGTTTTTGGTATAGAACTGATTACATTGGCTCTCAGCAAGTGAATGTAGTGACTTGACAGACAAAGCATTCTCATGGTGATGTGTTTGTTTGTTGTGCCCTATGCAACTTAGCCTTAATGTGTGCTACTGCAAGTATCCCTGCACCTCCTAGCAGACCTCCAGCTACTGCTCCAACTGGAACACCTATTGCAGCTGCAAATGGGACCTTCAACATAGGAAATGCTGTTCCTCCAAGAGTGGCTCCACCTAGAGCAGAGGCACCAACACAGAATGCGACTTTCCTCCTAACTCCCCAACCTTTTCCCTCTTTCTCAGCCTCTTGGAGCATTTCCTTGGTGTAGAACTTTTCTCCATTTTTCTGAACCATATTGTTGATGTGCTGCAGAAGCTCAGTGCGTTGAGATGGACTCTCATCATTGTTCTTAATGACATGGCAGTTTCCTTTACAGTCATCAACAAAGCTTTTGAGTTCACTTTCTCCAACAAACTCTTCTATGGTTCCCTCCAGTTCCTCTCCACCGGTGAACAGAACCATCGTGTAAAGTGTAACGTTTTTGCTGAAAGTCTCCTTAAACATTTCCACTGCGTTCTGTTCCGGGGTTGTAAATCTGTCTTTACAGGAAAGCACAAAGAGGAAGACATGAGGACCAGGAGCAGCATGGGACAACACCTCCTCTTTCTCCTCCTCCCCACTCACTCTTTCCAAATTGCACAGATCAGTTTCAACAATGACAACATTTTGTTGTCCGATCTTTACTTCTTTCCTCTGACACTTTTTTGTCCCAGAGGAACATTTCTCATTTTCCTCTGAGCTCCCGAGGAGAATCTTCCTCACTGAAGTAATCCGATTTTTTCCCCTGCCAACGAGCACAATCCTCAGCTCTGAAGGATCTGTTTGAAAAAATAATAAAGACATCAGTGGATACTCACATCTCTTAATGCAGTCGAAGTAGCAAATTTACTTAAGTAAAAGTACAAAGCAAAGGCATCAAAATAAACATAAAATTTGAAAAAAGGACCCCTCAAATAGAGCAGGGCTGGACTGTACTCCTTTGTAAAATAATTTTGAGACCCAACAGTTCCCACTGTCTTACACTTTTGGTTTATAGTTATTGACGCGTGTTCATCACATTAATGTTGCAGCTGATAAAGGTGAAGCTAATTTTAATTATTTTATATATTGCTGAGTAGCTCGTCAATTTCCCCTCAGATCATTTATTTGATTCATGTTAATATTCAGAACAGAATGTATTTATTGATGTCACAATTTGTGTTGTTTTTCTTGAGTGCATGGACAAGCAAGATATTTTGTTGTTTTGATTTTATTTTGTAGGACTTGTATCCCAGCTTTTGTTGTTGGTATTTTTGAAGTTTTGAAGGATGTTTATTCAGTTTTGTTATTTTAGTGCAAAACCCAAAAGGGTCAGTAGGTGGCAGTCGGATGTTTGGAAGCCAACTGAGACTCTGTTATGTGCTCTCTTTGGCTCTCTTGTCATTCTGCACAAGAAGCAACCTCTGGCTTCAAATGAAGTAAACGTGGAAGTAAAAACCTGCAGTTCCCTGTTGTCACAAACCGGGCCATACAGCCATGACAAAATGGAGGGAGATGCACACAAAGCCAATGAAATTATTTATTAAGGAAAGAATACTTAAACTAAACTAACAGTAGTATGTGAAATCAGTAAGATCATTGGTGTTTTAAAGGCGCATGGCACACAGGCCTCAGGTGTGTCCAATTTGCTGACAACCCTCTGCCACGCCCACTTAAAGTACCCCCCCCATTAGACAGGGGTCCCACAGGATCTCTGTCAACACAACAAAAACACCAAAATTTACTCAAGTAAATAACAAAACTTACGTCCTATAAACTTCCAGTCCCAAAACCATTCCCCCCAGCAACCACTCAACCTTTAGGGAGCAAACTTAAAGGAATGTAGAGGAAGAGGAATCACAGGAGATAAACAACTTTCTATCCACTACTCTAAAATGGGAGCCTGAGACAGTGCATCCGCAACTACGTTATCACAGCCTTTTATTTGTCGAATGTGTAGATCATGAGACTGCAGGAACAGTGACCACCTAATCAGTCTTTGGTTAGGGCATCGCAATGTGCAGAAAGGTGAGTGGGTTGTGTGTAGACCACCACTGGTGTCACCCCAGACCACACATAGACTGCAAAATGCTGAAGGGCCCAGATTAACGCAAGGGCCTCCTTTTCAATCACTGAGTAGTTTAACTGATACCGATTGAATTAGAAAACAAACTTACTGCCCTGTCCACTCCCTGCTCATCTGCCTACATTAACATTCCTCCTGCTCCTACATTGCTCGCATCTACCTGTAAGAAAAAGGGATGGTCAAAAGAGGGTGCAGCCAGCACTGGTGCTGAACACAAAAGAGACTTCACATTATCAAAAGCTTCCTGGCACTTGGTTGGCCACAAACTGAGCCCTGGCCTTCAGCAAGTCAGTAAAAAAAAAAAAAAAATGTGAAAAGAACAGTTTCCCCTGGGGATCAATAAAGTATATCTTCTTCTTCTTCTTCTTCTTCTTCTTCTAAGTGGTGCCACCACTGTAGAAATATTCTTACAGAAAGAGCGGTAATACCTTTTCTTCATCCTAGCCTGGGACACAGCTAGCATTTGTTTTGACAACTCCCCTGCAGCATATAGACGATGCCTAAACCCATTGACATAGTCAATAATATTGATGGGCGGATCTGATTGCTTTAACTCATCCTTAAACACAGACAATGGACCCCAGCAGAAGAAAACACAAGAACCAACAGAAAGCATTGCATAAGTCAACTAATGCACAAACAAGACACTAATGGTGTCCCCAAAACTAATGTGGAAGTCCCCCTCTACCTAAACTGCCTATCCACAGACTAAGCTACCTCACTAAACCCTAGTCTTCATGAAGATTAGCGGTGGGCTATGTAAACACTTAAACCAATAGCCCGGTCAGGCAGGCAGCAAGCTGGTTATTCACCTGAAAGCTATGGATGTGTCCCCGAGACAACTGCTCTGACCGCACACCACACAGAAAACAACTAAAAAAAATAAAACAAGCCGAAATGGACCATGTTGCTAATACTTGAACAGGGAAACCAGAGAAGCCAAAGCATACCACACTAGGGGACCAAACAATCACTTCTGCTAGCTCCTAACTGCCTACTCATGGCAACACCTGCTAACTGCAGGACCAAACTCCCCCTGACTGAAACAAGTCAACCAAATCTCCCCAAACAAAGAATGTGCCAAATTTAACATACGCCTCAGCAAAAACCAATGCAGTTGCAAACAAATACCCTACATCAATCAGGTAACCAAATAACGGCCACAAACAATTCAAATTTGAACCGGCGAGCCCCACTTGTCACAAATTGAGCCATACGGCTATGACAAAAAGGAGGAAGACGCACACAACAAATCCAATTAAAAAATGATTTATTAAGGAAAGAATACTTGAACTAAACTAACAGTAGTATGTGAAATCAGTAGGATCAGGGGTGTAAGTGAGTGTATGAGTGCTGTGTTTTAATAAGATGCAGCAATACAATCCAAACCATCAAACCCAACAACCAGTTAGTTGTCTCAGGGAGGAAAGAGAGAGAGTACTGAGCTCCCAGAGGGTTTTTAAAGGCACATGGCACACAGGCCTCAGGCGTATCCAATTTGCTAACGACCAATTTGCCACCCTACCTGCACAGAAAACAAGACATGCCACACAACCAGGAACGGGAAGACAAGGTCTGTATCCAGCACAGTAAAAGCCTGGACAGTGGGCCTAGCAGGGAGAGAAATCTTATGCTGTCTGTTAGATGGAGGCAGCCAAATAAGCTTCATTCTTGAAAATGTAGTGAAAGCGCTGAGGTTCCCAGTGGTAAGGCAAAAGACCTTGCATCTCCACACCTTTGTACGTGATCATGCCCATTCAAGGGAATGCTACGATGTACTTTAACAAACTCCTCCTCGAGAATTTAATGTAAACACGATCATGATTCAAATTTCTGTTATGTGTGAGTTTTTAAAGGGGCATGTCCCAGGCTAAACACATACACACCAATATTCCTGTCATATTCTTAGTGCCATCTACTGGCAACAGGAAATTACATGTTTTACTACCCAGCCGGTTGATCAGATCCAGGCGACATGCAAGGCCACGTTCAGCACTGCTTGCAGCTTTAATTGAAGATTGTGTGTTTAGAAACTGATTCAGGCAAGATTTCAGCTCTTATTAGATTTAAGTGCAGTTAACAAATCCTATGTTTAGGTCAGATACTATTTGGTCTCATTTGGTAATGATAAATCTGGGCAGACCAAAATTATGTGTGGAGTTCCCCAAGGCTCAATCCGTGGTTTGTTCCTCTTTTATTTAATATGCTTACATTATAGAACACGTTAGATAAAAACAATAAAACCAAAATGTAACTTGCTCTACCACAAAGCTTTTTAGGACAAAAAATCTTCAGACAATTCATTCAGCTGCACCTAGAGTCCTAACAAAAACCAAGAACAGTGAACACATCACACCAGTTCTCAGGTCTCTGCACTGGTTTGCAGTGTGTCACAGGATAAAGTTGCTGCTGCTTGTCTATAAATCTTTCATTTTTTATTGTTATTTTATTTTATTTATATCTCAGTTCTTAGCTTTTTAATTTCCTTTAAAATTATCTTATGCATTGTGGAAAGCACTTTAAATTGCCTGTGTAATGTACTATTTAAATATACTTGCATTGAATAAACACAAGTTTTTTAATTTAGATTCCCCTTTATTTGACAGATTCTTTTTTTGTGTTGTCTAAATTCCTGGAAATATTAATAAAATTGTAAAGATAGCCTGTGAATTTACATGTCTAATGTAAAATAGCATAAAAATGTGTAAATGTAAATAATCATAAAATTACTGCTTATTTAAAGAAAATTTCCAGTTTTTCACACAAGAAGATTAAAATACATTTGCAAATTACAGAAATTTGCTGTTCATTTAATAGAGGAAACTGTTGAATTCAAGTTTAATAGTGTTAATATATTTCTGAAATTATGTAAAATTAGTGAAAAAAAGTATTTTTTGTGTAATTTTAATGGATTTGTTAATTTGTTAACTGACAGATATCTTGTATAATTATGGAAGTTTTCACAACAAAAAGGTTGAATAAATGTTTTTTTTTTATCAGTGTATAAGCATTGGTAAACTGACTTTTAGTCAAATTAACAGAAGTAGTAGTAGTAGTAGTAGTGTTGAATATTTATGGCAACTGACAGCTGAAAAAGATCCCGCATCATGGATCTGAACTTTATATTATAGAAAAAGGATTATTGTACCATATATCAAACCCAAACACTAACCTGAGTATAAGTACTGTTAAAGAAATATACTTACCAAGAAGGTAAGGTTCTTCACTTATCATCTTTGCCCTGTAAAGTCAGCTCAACTCTAATATCACTGTGGATGTCTTGCTCTGAGTATTGTAATTTCCATCTTATCATTATATAGTTTAGGTTGCTTCTAGTTCCCTCCCCTGGATTACACATCACCTGTTCCTAACCAAAATCTGACCAGTCACAGATCAGATTAAAACTGTAGCTACAAGCAACAAATCAGAGGGCTGAGCACAAATACATTACGTTTTAGTATATTTCCACATTTATTGAGAACTGTTTATCTAGATACATTTGTCAGTGCATTCACACATGGACCTGCATTTTAGAGCATCATTATTCTTTCCAACAGTAATGACTGAAGAATTCAATATGTGGCATGTAAAACGAAAAACAGGAATACAATTTAATACAGAAACAATGCAGTAAATTTTGCCTTTGTGTCTCAGGCTGGCTTTACACGACAACGCTCCCGGGTGAAACCGCCAAAATATTTTATCAGATGTTTAGACGGCGACGGCGTTTTCGGCGCTTAAAAACGCAAAAAAATGAACCCACCTTCCAGAGTGGAAATCTTAAAAACGCTCCACCGTTCTAAAGGGTTAACAACGCAAAAGTGTGCTCTGATCTGCTCACGCTGGCTCTCGTCGCGTACGTGTTGACGTCACATCCATGTGCAGTACAGGCAAACAACAACAAACATGTCGGATTATTTCCATCAGTCGGACATTCAAGTTGCCCTAGCTGCTCTGATATCTATCCAGGGTCATTTCAGCAGTAAAGCCGAGTAATCACAGATAATATAACAGAACAGAGAAGGCGCATTAGGGCAATTGTTTGTGTTGGTTTTCGACTGTAGGCTATTTCGCGCTACTAAGGAGAGAAGTAAGAGGAAGTTTCAACGCATGCACGCGCTCATGATGGTGTTGTGTGGCAGTGCTTCACCGTACCACCTAGCCACCTGGCATGCGTACTACATCAAATTTCACACACTTTTGAGTCACCGTGTGCACGCAGATTTACCCCCCAAAGACGCTTGTCTAAACGCGGAATAAAAAGTGGGAATGCAACGCCGATTTTTGCGGTTTGTGTTCAGATCGTTGTCGTTCAAAGCCAGCCTCATTTTCTATGTCTTCTTTTAGGTATAATTTTATTAAACTTTTATTTTAAAATGTTTTAAATATTTTAAATGTTTATTTAATAAAAAAGTGTTTTATTTAACATAAAAATATAACTTGTGTCATCATTTTTTTGATTAAATAATTTAATTCATGTTGTTTAGATTAACTAGTTTAAAAGTAATGCTAAAAACATACTATTTACACTAGGCTATATACAGTAAATATGTGAGTAAAATATGTTTACGTGTTAATGGTAATTCATTTACTACTACTACGAATCATGTTAACAGGAAATGCTTTTATTTTGAAGTGCAAGGGAACTGCTGGGTCTTTTTAAATAGTTTTATAAGGAGTACGGTCTTTCCCCTCTTTTGACACAACGTGTCAACACAATATATTTAGGAAAATCACATAATACTCAGTTAATGATGTATTAGTGGGTACGCAGTTACTTGGTAAGACTTTTCAAGTTAATGTTTAACAATCTTCATGTTAGAGGTATTTGATCATATATTGAATTTGTCCTTTTCTCTGATCAACTGCTCTATTATGGTTGTTGTGATGTCATCTTCTTCTGGGGTCTCCTGACCCTGCGTAGGTAACATGCCAATGCCACTTCTGCCCTCCGTGTCTTCTTGTGCCCTCGATGTTAACAGTTCTTTTATTACCACAACTGGGTGTTGGAACCCGTATGGGAACTTTTGGACCCCATTTGTTGCAGGCTTTTGGATTAGTGGGAACACTTATCTTGTTGCTGAATTGGTGTCCAGGATTGGGAAACCAATCCAAAGATGAAAATTTGCATCTAAGGGTTTACACCCCACTTCCTTATCCATTTCGCATAAATTAGGTAATCTCTTTATTGGGAAAAGATTTGCACTCGGATGCATGGATCCACATTTCCGTCTCAGCTATCTCAACAGCAGTTGGTGTCATCAAAAACATCTAGTATGGTCCTGTTATTTACTCATGACTCATCTAAAGTCTGCAAAACTTTACTATCTCTGTTATTTGCTAGGATACATGTGTTGTTGCTTCACATGAAACTTATTGCTATTGGCATGCTATTTGGGTTATAAAATGTTCCACCTATCTCAATAAGATTTTTTCTAAATCATTAGCTGTGCTAAAGATGCGACTCATCTGCTACTTTTATCAATTTAATAAGTATATACTTCTATCAGACTCTTTAAGGACTTTAATACTCCAATCTTTCATATTGTTGCATTTTCCTCAATCCATATTCATTCAAATCTACTTCGACTACACTCTATTCTGCCCTTGCAAGAATGCGGCTGACTTCTAGCTTGGCAGATAGTTAAACAGTTTCTCGATAAAACACTGCAGAGTCTTCAGGTAGGTTTTTGATGTTTTACTTGAGAATATCTGTGAAACTGTAATACAAAAAATAAAAAAGCATGTCAGACTTCGTTTTGTCTGTTTCTTATACACTCATAAATACCACACGCATACATAGATACACACCAAAGTTATAATTTACTCCACACAACAGAAGTGGTAATGAGTAGCGCTTAGCTCAGTGCTAACATAATATGAAAAAAACCCATTGACGGGCTAGCGCATTAGCATCGGTCGCGATATCTACTTTACACACAAATGATAGTAAACCAAAACGGGACACCAGGTAAGTCACATATGTACTTCACACACTAACGATATACTTACAGACTTATGTCCCTTCTAAGTACAGCAGGAAGAAAAATGAAATGTGAGTGGAGATAACAACTTTCATGAAGGCTGGAACGAACTACCGTAAGCTTGCAGGAACAAACGGTGCAGCAGCCTAAACATTCCCCGACACCCTTAAAGGGGCAGCACACTCCCAGCCTGGTATAATGCTATACCACTATGCACCTTTAAGTAGTAACACTACATCTGTAGCGGGTCTCGAATATGCCTTGGGGGAACCACCTTTAACAACTCTGACTTCCACTTTACGGACTCTGTTGTCCTGGCCAGGAAAGGTGTTAACTATAAGTCCCATAGGCCATTCATTTCGTTTGGCTTGGCTGTCCTTTAAGAGCACGATGTCTCCAACTTGCAGGTTAGGTTGGTCTCCTTGCCATTTCCTTCTTGGCTGGAGTGTCGTCAGGTACTCTTGACGCCATCGCTTCCAGAATGGATCAGCGAGTCCCTGGACCTGCTTCCACTGACTCCGGTAGAGATCCTTCAGATCAAGGTCTCCTGATGGAGCAGAGAGAGAAGGATCTATGCACTTCTTGTCAAACTGTAAAAGTGACAGGTACCACGCCCCCTTTCCAGTCCCAGGTCAAAAGGTCAAATCGATCAAAAAATCTATCACTTCAAGGGTTCCAGATGGTAAACATTTTAAGTGGTCTAATCGATAGATAAACCACAGATGGTAACCCCCCCCCCCAGATGGTAAACCTTTTAGGGGTCTAATAGACAGAGATGCCCCCCACCCCTTCCAGATGGTAAACATTTTAAGATAAAACAATCAATAGATTGTACACAGTTAATTGGCCCACCCCCACCCCTATGGCGGGGAACCTTTAAAACTCAAGTGTGAACAAAAGACAAATATTATAAGTACAGAGTCGGCAAAGAGTTCGCCATCAATTCACAATGCTACAAGAAAAGTTTTACGATTGTGAAAAAGAGAATATACCAGAAGATGAGATGTCTGTGATTTGCGAGACACCAGTCACCATCTACCGGCAAGTGAGAGGGCCTCCTCCCGCACCGAGGAAAAGTATGGTGTATGTACAGCGTACACAGGCTCCTCCAAAGGAATCTCTGGGAGAACAATGGTCTTTACTGCAGCATGGATCGTCTGGATGTTGGGGGTATGTGTTCAAGTATGAAGAGGGCGAGCTCTGGTTGTACCAGCTGGGTGATGATGAAAAATTGAATTTGATGAAAAATGTGGTGACTCTTACCTCCAACGACTGGGCGGTGTTGAGGCTAGTGATGTCTGAACGGCCCTCGGATGAGAATCAAGTGAGAACAGATCCTTCCACCGATGTACCAGAGTCTGGTGTCGTTTCTAGGGCTGTCTGGCAGGCAAAGATATCTGGTTCCAGTCAATGGTTCATACGCGCCACTATCCAAGCATCTAGGGAGAAGCCTCTTGAGGGGGATTTTGTCCTCGAGTATTTTAATACGGACTGCGGTGTATTCCGGCCTGTGCTAACCATCCCTTTAGCCGCTTGGCTAGAAAAGATGGATGAAATAGGAGAGAGAATCACAACCCTCTTCCATAGCAGTCGTAATTGGAATGACACTTTGAAAGTGAGAAAAAAGCTGACGCTCTAAGCCACACCCCTGAACGCCCACTACCGCCCCCAGACCGCCCCCTGACCGCCCACTACCGCCCCCTGACAACCCACTAACGCCCCCTCTCTGACCACTACCCCGTCTTCAAAGGTTTAAAAAGGAGTAACACAGTCAAAACCTAACACAGCATCCTTGATCAAACCGCTCCAAAACGAAAAAAGAAGACATGGCTGCCATCAACGGACAGCAGCGCCGGATCGGCACTATCTGGACCCCATTTTCAGACATCCCTGAAGATTCAACCTCCGGACCCGTCGGGGGCGCAACTCGCAGACATTCGGCCGATGGATCCATCTGTAACCTCAGCACTGTTTTGGAGGAACCCCAGGACCCTGCATCTCCATGCTGCACCCCTGGTTCATACGCAGATGGGCCCCAGGATTCGCAGTTCTCAACCCACGATCCCTCCGATGCTGGAGGGTTGGTCCAGAGCCCTGGCTATCCACCAGCCCCACAGAACTCACCCTGTGACTCCGTCTGGGTAGACACGGGTGATTCCCAGCCTCCCACACCTCCACGGCAGGCACCAGAGTATCCAACCCTCTTGAGCTCTGTTTCTTTGACTCCACCACCATCACCACCTCTGTGGGATGAGGAAGAACCGGTGGATGAAATCGACGGCTGGCTATC